GCATGCGCATTAGGTGAAGGTACAAAATTCACAGCGCTATCTAATGACCAGGCATGGTAACTACAGCAGATTCGGGAGAGTGGGGGGGATTCCTGCGGATGTATGTAAACCCAAAATCCGACCACGTCGACGCAAATATTTTCCTATAATTAACATACGAAAAAACCTACGTTTCCCCCCCATCGTGTCCGTGTAAATAGGGCCTAAGAGAAGGTTCTATTTATAAGACTGAGTTTGTTGCAGCTCCTCAGACTAAAGAAGTCTTTTGGAAAAAGACAAAACAATTCAACAAAGAAGAATCTGTCCAGAATACCCGACTTAAACTTGTTAGATTTTTCTACCTGGATTATAACACATGCATCAGGACATTACTTACTATTGTATTACTAATTTCTGTCTTTACACTGACAATGTCCCTTCAGTCCTTCTCAAATAGTGGGGTGCGCCCTCCTGGGGGGCCCAGAGCAATGCCAGGGGGGGGGGGGGGGGGGCACATGCCCCGGGGAACATTTTGCGGCAGGGAGTAGTTTTTTTTATTTATTTTTTAACCATTCTCATTTTGTCAGTGTGCATTCAGCAACTGTTTGCTAAAACCCAGCAACTCTCAGGTTTACTGATAATAAAGTTATAAACAAATATGGCTGCCCTGTCATTTGGGGAGCCATGCATGAACCGTGTCACTCTCCTCTGCTGCTGAGAAAAAAATGACTCCCACACCTCCTCAGCTGGTTACGCCCTGGACGCTTGTCACCCACAGCACGCAGAGTATAAACTCAAAGCGAGAGCGTTACCTGCCCCTCTTCCTCTTTCGCTTTAACAATTTTTTATATATTTTTTAGTTTGTCAAAGCACAATTTTGTGTTTTTTAAAATACAGAAGTAATGTTTAACAAATGTTAGGACTCTATTCTTTACTAACAAAATATATTTTATGTCAACTTGTCAGGTCTTCTCTTGTGAGCGCGTTCCCCTGTACACCCCCCCAGCCCCCCATCCAGTCAGCCCGCTCGCTCTGAGCTCTTTGTGACTTCTCTGCTGTTGCTGCAGTGAACACCAAGTCCAGGTCCAGTTAAACGTTGAGCAGGAGCTGAGAGTTGCAGGATCATCATTCAAACTCCTGTGGCAGGAAGCAGGTGGAGATTCCACCTGCAGCCAGGATAATTGCTTGATCAGCCAATAACACTAGGGGGCACTCACTATAAAAGCACAGATAGGCTGCGTACTGGGTATGGTTGACTGATGCGTCACTCAGCGATTCCAAGACGCTTGTTTACGGACGCGTCATGCTGCGCTTCCCTGTTACATTTGCTGTGTGCAGAGTACAGGTGAGGTTGGCTTCCTGCGCACCTACAACAGCTCAGAGTATGTCGTTTATATACTTTTATACCCGCAGATAAGTGTCGGTGCATTCACAACCACATTTGATGGTGTATGAAGTGGTTCCTGCTTCCAGCGTGTTTCTGAGCATTCCTGTTTGTGCAAAAGTGAGGAGAGAGCTTGGCCTGATCGGTAAGTGGAATTAGTCATGAGCCTTATTTTAATCAATTTGCTCTAAACTATTTTTACTGTGGCTTGTAGATTTATTTCCACAATCACCACTGCTGCTTTGCCGAGTTTTGAAATGACCTCAGATGCCGCTCGTCCTGCAGTCGCTTGGAAGCAGCGTTTGACACACCCACACTCCGAGAGAGAAGAGGGTGCGGAGGCTTTTGCGCAGCACCGGCTCGTGCACTGCTGGCTGTGTTCGGACTCTTTTTGTTATTGTTTTATTGTATTCTCTTACATGTATTTTATTAGTAATTTGTGTGCTTATTCCCTTTTTTAATTTATTTTTATATTTTTATTCTTGCTCTGCAGGTTGGCGCGGGAAGTGTGCGTGGCCTGGATGGTGGCATCTCCTTCTTTGTGTGACTGCAGCGTTCAGCACAGATAGGTGGAGGGATTCAACGAGCGTGTGTGAGTTCATGGGTGTTTGTAGTGATTCTAATTTGGGAGCCTTCCATCCAGGACCTGGGTAAGCCTCGCCAACTGTGTTATATAGTTTGTAATTTTTATCTACGTACAAGTATGTCTCTACTTTTTAAAAAAAAAGATCAATAACGAAATGTTGTCGACTACTTATTGCAAAGGAACCTGTGTGTTAATTGATTTCCAGGGGGAAAATCCCAGGTGGCGCTGTTGGTAACAAAAATCTAATATTATTGTGTAATCTAAAAAAGTTAAGTCGGGTCCTCTGGACATTCAACAAACAAAACAAAACAAAAAATTGTAGAAACGTTTTGTCTTTCATCCTGAGGACTTCCTCAATCTGAGGAGCTATATTCAGCTCAGTCTCTTAAATAGCACCTTCTCAGATTGGATCAACCAGTTTGTTGCTGACATCCAGAACCAGCTGATCACATGATCAAGGAGGACCATCAACTGATCGTTAGTTTGTTGCTGACATCCAGAACCAGCTGATCACATGATCAAGGAGGACCATCAACTGATCGTTAGTGTCCTGGTAGCTGCTTGCTATTCAAAGGGGGCTGAGTGATACTAGCAATCACAACATTGTAAGAGGGGGACAGTTGAACCTGGAGGCTCCACCCCTGTTTAATGATGGACGGTTTCTTTTCACAAAGATGGCCTCCTTTACTCCTCTCTCAAACCATCGTTCCTCTCTGTCCAGGATGTGAACATCTTCATCCCTGAAAGAGTGACCTCTGGCCTGGAGATGAGTGTAGACCGCAGAATCCTGGCCTGATGATGTTGATCTTCTGTGCTGGTCCATCCTTTTGGCCAGTGGCTGTTTAGTTTCCCCGATGTAAGACTGATCACCCTCCTGACACTGAACAACGTACACAATATTCCTCTGTTTGTGCCGGGGGACTGGATCTTTGGGATGAACCAGTCTTTAATGTATTTTGGGGTTTAAAAGCCACTGGGACGTTATGTTTAGAAAATAAACGTCTCAGTTTCTCTGATACTCCCTCAACATACGGAATGACCACTGGTCTGGGTCTGGGTTCCTCCTTTTCACCTGTTGGCTGACTGGAGTCCTGTTTGGGTTTCTTCTTTCAGGAAGGCCCAGTTAGGATATCCACATTGCTCTAGAGCCTGTCTTGTGTAGGATTTCTCCTTCTGCCTGGCTCCTGAGCTAGTGGGGACGCTGTCTGCTCTGTGGTACAGAGTCCTGATGACTCCTAACTTGTGCTCCAAAGGGTGATGGGAGTCAAACTGCAAATACTGGTCTGTGTGGGTGGGTTTGTAGTACACCTCAGTTTGCAAATGTCCTCTATCAGAGACTGAGACCTCACAGTCCAAGAAAGCCAACCTGCCATTTTTT